TGGCATGCTTCTGAAGCTTATCAATCGATGATCAAAGTCTGTCTGATGGTCAGAAATGTAAAGAATAGAGGAAGGAATCAATGTCATAAAAAGGACATTATTTGACAGTGCAGGCTGTACAGCTGAAAAGTTTGACAAAACGAGCACTATCATCATCATCATCCTATTTACGCCTCTCTAAATGGGCTAAGAGAGTAGCTATTAAACCCAGGAAGTGGCTTAGTCACAAGAGAGGACCCGTACCATTTCAATAATTTCTCAAAAACGTTGTGCCAACAGTGCACAATTGATTCTTATGATCCTATAAAATACCACAATAGTCAAATGGCTTTGAGTGGAATTTTGGCAAAAAGCTAAATTTCCACAATGTTCAGCTATAACTTTCTAATAATTCTGCCATAAAAGTAAAGATATCAATTTGATTGTCATCCACAAGAGGTTCTTCTCTTGAACAGACCTTCATTGAAATGAAAAGAATTTTTCAGATATTGCATGAAAGAGTTTCACAATTTTAAAAGACAGATCCATTTTTAATATTCACTTCATTTCAGACCTGTAGTGCACAAAAGAGTAAAAAAAAAAAGTGATTGCTGGGCATTTTGGATTATATCTAGCAACAGCAAAGTTGAACTGAAACTGCTTTCAAAGATATGTAACAGAATAGTGCACTGTGAGAGGCAGATCTATTTGACTGGTAATAGTGCTAAAAAAGACTACAAGTGTAACTAACTAGGTGCCAATTGCCCCTTGTAAACGTTACTTCACTTGGGAAATAAAACAATTATGAAATGATTAGTCAATAAAGGTGCTATCTCGCTACTAAGCACATTAGGGCTGTGGACGCTGAGATAAACACAGGCTCCCTATGCCTCCATTAGCTTAATCTCTTCTTTTTAACATGCGGTATAGTAAACTAAATCAAAAGTCCTGCTATTCACACAGTTAATATCATGCTGTCCTTCAAGTCTTACTATATTTATGATACATACAACAAAATGACTCTCACCTCATTGCAGCAGATGTGGAATCACAAGCATGCCTCTGAGCTACGGACACAAGTGCAAAACAGCCAGCACTTTCAAAGTATGCTTTCAATTACAGTCACTGAGAGCTGCCTCCAGGACTGACTGATGTGAAGTGGGAGGGCTCTGCAGCAATTTCAAGGACATATGGGAACCGTAGTTTTCAGTCTGTTCACCTACATCAGAAAGCCTGCCAACATTTCCTACAGTTCCCATACTCTAACACTGGTCACAGGTTCTTCTTTCCAAAAATACACCCAGCTAGTTCTAGCACAGTAACTGGATACCTGGTTAAGAAACATCATCATCATCATCATCATCATCATCATCATCATCATCATCGTCATCAACATTGCACCCTGTAGTTTCATCATTCTGACCATAATGTACAGTACAGTGTATGTCAAAAGTGCTAATCTATGCAGCCATATTCTCGTACTATAACATTCTTACAGAAAATACTTGTTTCTGCCTGGATGGAAACTATCCAATAAAGCCTTATAGTAGCACACCTTATGCATAGTTCTGGTCAAACAGCCAATCCTCTGTTCTAAATTGGTCTGCAGGTACCGGTATATTAGACTGCAGGTAACCATAGCAACAGTCCCTTGGCTTCATGCTACATTACCAGTTCACCTAACTGGATGACTTTATGGAACCTTTAAGACTCAAAATATGGAAAACTATGTATCAGGATTTAAATAAAACCTTGCTTTTTCACTCTGGCCACGGTATAAGCACTATAGAAAATAATGGGCTTGGCACGTTCTCCATTATTTCAGTACATCAGGATGCTCTATCATGCGTCACTGCTTAACATTTGTAGTGTAATGGCCATAAAACTGTTGCTACTGTACAGTAGCTTTGTCATCATGTAATGTTCAATGTTTTGTTGAGACTATGTCAGCCATATAGATGACTCAGCTTTATCATAATTTGTTTTAGGTCACACCATACTCTATATATTGTACATGAATACTAATAGGACATTAATGCAGTCCAACACATGAATCAAAAACCAGCAGTCTTAACCAAAACTGAACATTATAAGATACAGAGTCAGAATTTATTTTTTACTTCCCATAAGCAGCTTATCAATAGGATTTTGTTGAGCTTTTAGTGGAGCATGGCTCAAATTCAGTTCAGCTGACATCCAGAGCCAGCTTCGCTTGAATTATTCCACATTCATCATCAGGCCTGCTAATTGATTCTCTACTAACTAATGCTCTCAAGAAGCAGAAGGCAAGTGAGAGCATGGTTGTACTGGAAGGAGGAGCTACATCCAGCGGTATTAGAGAGACTTAAAGACCATTTGCATGCTCCTGGATCTATCGCTCCGATACACTTAGGTCTAAGCAAGCATAGCAACCTAGCAACTTGTTCAAGTTTCAGCTCTCTAGTCAACTGCTGAGAGATTTCATCCTCTGGTTTAATGAACAATAATGATGGACAACATGTAATTTACCCCAAGGATCACATTAAAACCCCTCATTAAACATTGGGTACACAAAGCAAAATGAAAGCTCAATTGTTCTGTGAAAGCAGGGCACTAAAAATACTCAAAGGGAGGAGGACATATCCTCCAACAGTCTGTGCAAAAAAAGTGAAATGCTGTACAATAATTTACAATCACAGTGCAACTGAGCAGCAATGGATTTAAGAATAAAGTTGGAAAACTGCTAAAAAAAAAAAAACCTCTTCCTATAGTTTAACCCAGTGAGCTGCTCTGTTCTGAGCTATGCAGAAAGCTCAGTGCTCCTGAAACAGAGGGTCTATGCTGCGTATCTGTCAATCAAAAGTCCTGCCTTTAATCAAGCTGCTACTAGGATACAACTAGCAGCTCCAACTCAGCTCCAAATTCAGATCCATTGCATGCCAACAAATCCAACCAAATGTTTGCTTTCTCTGTTAAAAAAAAAAAAATGTGGTGACAAAGCTGGATGAAGCCAAAATAAATCTGCGTGAGTTTCTGTTTTGACCACATCCTGTGTTTAAAAGATGCTCAATCCCTCTGTTCCTGAAGATCTCATTTTGTCTATTTACTACTTAATTTATTTAGATGTCGATACTGTAAAGAGAATCCTACAAACAATGAGGATTCACAGGTGCAGAGATGCATTAATTCTTTATAAGCGGTGTCGTATGATGGGCTAGGTTATTGATTCTCTCACTCCTCCCTCCATCTTTCATTTTCAGTCCAGCTGGACACAATCCCACACTAATCACTAGTAAGCTCTCTGGTTCCTGACAATGTCGTGTCAGTCTGCAGAGGCTCTGC